CATATTTACAGAGAAGGAGAGAGAAAGATCTTCTGTTTGTTGATTCACTCCCTAAGTAGCCGCCAATAGCCAGAGCTGAGCAGATCCAAAGCCAGGAGCCAAGAGCTTCTTCCACGTCTCCCACAAGAGTGCAGTGTTCCAAAGCTTTGGGCTGCCCTCGACTGCTTTCCCAGGCCAGAAGCAGGGAGCTGGATGGGACACAGAGCAGCTGGAATTACAGTGGCCCACATGGGCATATGGTCTTCTCAATTATGTAAATAACATTAAAATAAATTAATACAAATTTTACTTATAATAAATTTATTTGAAATTAAAAAAGAAATAGGAAGGACCGGAATCTTGGAGTGGGCATAGCTGAGGTTCTTGGGGACTGCTCTGAGCAAGTAATACCCACTGGCAGCATGTGTGAGGCTGGTCTGGGAGCCCACCTGGAACGGGTCCTCAGGGGTCTGCCCAACAAAACTGCAGTATCCACTGATACAAATAAGGGCCGGATTTAGGGGTGGGCTTAGTCAGGCCATGGTGCCTGTTGTATACCCTAGAGCCAGTTCCAGGGCAGGCCAGGCCAGCACACAGCATCCATCAATTCATGCAGGAACTGGAGGTGGTGGCTGACAGCTTATACAAGCCAGGAACAGGAGCTGGCTGAATGTGGTTAGGCAATAGCACTTGCTGGCACATCTGAGAGGCAGGTCCTCAGGGGTCTCCCCACTAGGACGCTGTACTCACTGGAGGCATGCATGGGGGCCAGATGATTGGGATTCTTGAGGGTTGCCCTGACTAGGTCTAGGTCACAGAATGCACAAGCACATATAAGGGCAGAGATCTGGGGGTTGGGCTGGGCTCCAGCACTGCTACAGCACATGAGAGTCAGAGCTGTTGGGCGTCAGCCTGATGGGCCCACTCCACTCAATCAGCAACCTCAGAGACTAACACATGGGCATTTAGTCTGGCCTCAGACCACATTTGTGGGACTGGGCTGTCGCCATTGCTGGCTACATGTAAGGAAAGATAACATATCAGGATACACACAATGTCAGGGTAGCCAGTCTCTCTGATTCAGCAGAGAACACCTTGACTGCCCTACCAAGAGATGGAAAGAAGAGCAAGCTGAACAAAACTACAGGCCAAACTCTCCTTCAAGCATCTAAGGTTCTGGACATACCAAAACAGAGAGCTGGGAGGTGGTATCTCACACAAGGTGCAAGGAAGCCAACTCCATCTCAGAATAATCAAGACTTTTCAAGGAATACCCTGAGAACATTCTTCTCTCTAGTAAGGTCCTAGGGATGATATCAGGGAACCATCTCTGTCCCCCCCAGAGCTGATGTGATCATCTGCACATCTCCCCTCCTCATCCATCCGCAGTCACAGGAGGGAAGGTCATTTTCTTCACTTACCGTCCCTCCCTGATCCCTTCCCAAGTCACCCAGTGATCTGCACCAGTCTGCAATCCCCTCAGCCATATAACAAACATTTACAAATCAGTTAAATGTGACTCAAGGCCAGGACCTCGTTACACATGATTAAAGTAACCAGTGCTTGTTCGTTGCAGTCACAGACCTTTTCAACATTTTCCCAGTCAAAGGGAAACTTGCTGTTGGAGAAACCCAAAGACAAAGGAAAGGGGCAGGTCACCAGGCCACTCTATAGACCTTACTCTCTGCTTTCGCGGCGTGGCCAGCTGCCCTCCACTCGAGATTGCATTGACACACCTGACTGTGCCCTCTGCACACGGATCAAGCCGACGGAAATACAAGACAGAGGGACAGGGCACAGGTGACAGTACTGTGCAGCCTGTGAGCCCAGATCACCCATGTGATAACCAGTCATGATGCAGAAGTTCACACCAAACTATTCACAATCCAAAAATCACTTCTAGTAAAGATTGGAATTTATAGAATAAAAGCATGGTAAGACGGAAGCAGTTTTCCCCAGTTGTAGGCAACCGCCTAGGTTGTACGATACAGGCAAGTGTTACACTGCTTGTGGGCATCCTGGGCCTGGTTATTATGTCGGGGCAGATGCTGACACGCCAGCAGACAGGGTCTGGGGGCCATACACAAGTGTATGTGGCCCTGGGTGAGTAGGCGAAGCCCCAGGCTGGCATGGCACACCTTGGGAAGACCAGGTTTGGGGATCTGCGCACTCACGGGCGTGGGGAGCTGGGAATTGCTCGAGGAAGGATATCTGGAGATGTGCAGGAGAGAGGACTGCTGAGAGGATGTGACAGGTGAGGAGTGACTTCTGGGACACTTCCACCAACTAGGCTACTGCGCTTGCAGGTAAATAAGGGAGCTGAAACTGGGTGGTTTGGAGGAGGGAATCCAGAACTTTCACAGTCAAACTAACATAGCTGCCCATGTGGGAGACCTAAGCGGAACTTGTTGGTATCAACCACTATCTACTGGCACACACGAAAGCCATAGATGGGGGCATGCCTGGCAAGGCTCAACCACAGTACCCTCCAGTATTAGGGCAGGGGGTGAATCGTGTTAGGCTAGGCCATGACACTAACCAGCATGCAAGAGAACCAGGTCTGGGAACAGATTCTGTGGGGGGTCGTGAACTCACCTTTGTTGGGACTGCCATACCAGCTGGTTTACTTGCGGGCTGGAGATGGTGATGTGCTGAACTAGGCCTGGCCATGGAACTCACCAACACTCATAGGTGCTGGGGTTGAGAACAAACTAGGTTGATCCAGGCTATAGCACCCACAGATGAACCCAAGAATCGGGTGTGGGGCATGCCAGACCACAACACCCACCAACACACACAAAAGTCAACAATCAGGGACAGACTGTGCCGAGTAGGGGCCTAACACCTGCTGGTGCATGTGAGATCTGGACATGAGGGTGGACCTGTTGGGGAAACTTGGTGGGCCATCATTCCTATGGGCACATGAGTCAGAGCTAGTTGTTGGTCAGGCTGGGCAGGGCTGCTTCACTTGGTGGCAGGTGTGTGAGTTGGCTCTGGGCTGGGGGGCAGACCAGGCAGGGCCAGGCCAAACCTTAGCACACAGCCATGCTCAGGGCAGGCCATGCTGCGCCAGACTATCACATCTACTAGTTTGCATGAAAGCTGGAGATAGGGGCAGACTGGGCAGGGCTAGGCTGTAGCATCCACCAGCAAGCTGGGTGCAAGAGTTGGGACAGCCAGGCCAAACTATAGCATCCAATGGCAAAGACCAAGACAGGAGATGGGCTATGCCAGGCTGGACAACCACTGGCATGCACAAGATCTGTGACTGGGAGCAGGCCTGGTTGGGGAGTTAAAGGGACGCCCAGGCTGGACTACATTCCCACTGGTGCTTGCGTGAGCTGGAATGGGGGCGGTAAACTGGGCTGAACATGGCAGCACTATCCTTCAGCATGAGTGTAGACTGGATCAGGGTGTGCTGGACTAGGCTAAATTCCAGTACTCTGGTGTTTACAATAGCCAGAATGGATGTAAGGCAGGCTGGACTAGGTCTCAGCACCCACTGAAGCACATATGAGTGCCAAGCCTGAGGGTGGGCCAGGTAGGGTTGGATGGTAGCACCCAATAGTAAAGTCGGAATGAGTGTGGGTTGATTGGGCAAGGCTGCTGTACCACCCCAGGACAGGAGATGGGCCAAGCTGGGTTGGGTCAAGAACCTACTGGTGTGTGCAAGATCTGTGACTGGGAGGTGACCTGATAGAGGAGCTTGGAGAACTCCTGTCAGGACACAATCCTTGTATAGAACACAAGCACCAAGGCTGGGAGCAGCCCAGACCAGGTCAGGTTACAGTATCTGCCAGCATATGTGTTGGTCATGTCTAGAGGTGAGCCAGGCTGGGCCTGTTCATAGCACACACTGGCAAATGTGAGGACCAGGACGAGGTACAGGATAGGCCAGGATGGACTGCACCACCAGCCAGTTCACATTAGTGTTGGTAGTAGGGGCTATCCAGGCTGGGCTAGGCTGCAGCACTCACCAGCTTGAGCTGGAACTAGGGGCAAGCCCTGTCGAGTTAGACTGCAGAAGCACCTGGAAAGTACAAGATCCAGGTCTGAAGTGTGCCTAAAAGGGAAACTGGACACCTCTCTGATGGGCTGCAACTCCTCCTGGTGAACATGAGCAGGGTTAGGGGAAAGACATTAGAGGCAAGACTGGCTGGATAGGCAGTAGCATACACTGGCATTGAGTGTGGGCTGCAAAGTGCGGCTAATTAAGCCAAGTTAAGCTCCAGTGCCCATTGATGTGCACGAGAGCCGACTGGGACCCAGGACAGACTGGACCAATCTGTTGCATATACCACCAGGGCTGGGGATAGGCCTGGTGGGCCTTACATTGGTGTGTATGAAGGCTGAGTGTGTTGTAGGCAGGGTGCGGGCTGGGTTGCAGCATCCACTGCTTTGTGAGCTGGGGCTGGGGACTGAACTGACCAGGTGATTTTAACCATTAATGTGCGTATATCTGGTGTGGTGATGGACTAGACTCTGCATTGGCTGGCACACATAGTAGTCAGGTCCGGGGGGTGCAGCTCTCTGGCCAGGTTTCTTTGGGGACTCCCCGCCAACTGGACCACTACACTCCAACCATGGTGAAAAAGCAGAGATTTTCTGCAGCCATGGAGGACATGATAACCAGTTCACTGAGGCAGAGGAAATGTAATGTCATGGAAAGCAAAACAAACTGAACAGCTCTGTTTGCCAAGTTTGGCAGTGAGTATATCTGGATGAATGTGGACCGTCAGCAATTGGCCCTTGTAAACAACAAAATCCACAGCATCTCAGATCAAAGCCATTCTAGCAGTATCCTTGTAACATGCTCCATACCAGGGGACCTTGGATGACATCACGTGGCAGCCCCTCACTCCTGGCTGCTGAGTGGTCCTCTCTCCTCCCCCGGCTTTCCCCAGATACTGGAAGATTATCTCATCTACCCTCCCCACCCCTCAAGCCTAACTGATGGTCCACGTGTCTACATCCTTCTCAACCATGTTATCATCAAAAATAATTTAAAAAGATGGAGGCAGTTTTATGGAGATTTTTCTTTATTGAGAAACATAAGACCTGGGTACATCAAATAAATTCAATTTCCAGGGTAGGAGAAAAAAATCAAAACCCACAATAGAAAAAAAAGTTCACACTATCTGGGTCAAAGCAGAACCCAGAGAATAGAGTCATATAATCGAAAAATTCTAGGTGCTTCATTAATTGACCTTTTGATACAAAATGACCTATTAAATTTGTAATTTGTGGTTCTTGGTGTTGAGGTCCATAGGACAAGCTACGAAGTCTTCAAACCTTGAGCTGAACTCCACAAGGGGTTATTTGGCTTTTTGAATCCTGAAAAGAAAAACACCAACAAATGAACACATAAAGGAATTCTCACCAAGGCCCTGTGCTAGGCAGTCAGCTGGAACATGGCAGGTCGCCAGCATAGCTACCCCCAGCTCACGATCCTCAGTGACAGAGCCTCACCTGGAGGGCCGGCATTCCCCTGACCAACCTCCACACAAATCGCAAAGATGACACAGAAATGAAGTTTTGGGTTCTGGTTAAGCAGACTCCTTATGTGCCCACTATTTCAGATCAACAAGTGACCAGAGCTCTTTTTAATTTGTAACTTTGTACTCTGTCCACACCAACTCGCCCAGAAACAGCTTTTAAGTTATCAATACTGCCTATCAAATAAGCTCTAATACTGCCTCTACATTTTTTTTTTTACTAAGATGTTCACAAACCAAAAGATACTGCAGGCCCGGTTCTAATCCTGGCAGCCCCACTTCCCATCCAGCTCCAGCTTTATGGCCTGGAAAAGCAGTTGAGGACTGCCAAAGCCTTGGGACCCTGCACCCCCATGGGAGACCCAGAAGAGGCTCCTGGCTTCAGATTACGGCCACTTGGGGAGTGAATCACTGGACAGAGCTCTTCCTCTCTGTATGACTTTCCAAATAAACAGATAAATAAACTACTGCAGAAAAATCAAATAGCCAACATACGGTTTTTCCATGTCTAAGAGGTAGCAGCAGCGACAGCGCCCACCTTCTGGGCAGCTTCTTTCTTGGCATGATGAGCCTGCAGAACTGCCACAGCTTCATCCACCTGTGAGAAATCCCCAGGCGGACAGTAAAGTAAGGCTCAGGTGAGTCACCCTACCCCTCCCTGGTTCCTGGGTCGAGCCCACTTGGGCTGAGGACCACTCACCTTGGAGCGGAGGGACTCCGGGGACTCCAGCATGTGCAGCAGCTCCGAGTTGTCGATCTCCAGCAGCATCCCTGTGATCTTTCCGGCCAGGTTTGCGTGCATCGTTTGGATGAGGGGGAACAATCGTTCTCCTGGGGGTGGGATGATGCATGAGGAATCAAATGGAAGCTCAGGAAAGGCTAGGCGCTGCTGGCCCGGCCAGCCACCCTTCTCCGTAAGCACCTGGCCACTCACCCAGCATCTGCTTCTGCTCCTGGGGGGGTGCTGCGGCCAGCATGGAGGCGGTCAGAGGCTCCTGGCCCTGCACGTGGACAGCGGGCTGGGGGGCCTGGGAACCGGGAGATGCAACAGTTAGAACCAAGAAGCCATTTGCTGGTGGGGGAGGGTGTTGAGAAACTAATTTCAGTCCTTGGAAGATTAAGTGATGCAGGGAGGAAAAGTACTTAACACATGACCAACGAAGAGGACACGCTGTCAGAGGAAAAGCCCTTCCAAGTCAGATCAGCCATTTTCTGACATTTCATTCAACTCATCCTAAGTTACTCATGAGCTTAAATCCTTGCTATATAAATAAAGCTGCAGCCAACATCTGTGTGTGGCCTTCCCCCTGAAAATGAGTGTTTCTTTACGACGACTTAGAGTATTGCCACCTTTCCTGCTGAGGTGGGCCGAGGTGTAAAGCCAGTGTCAGTCACAGCCCTAAAAGGAGAACTTCGCGGGCAGAGTGTGTGTCCCACAGCATTAAGTTCTGGGAAATCCTGCCTTGGACAGTGAGGGCAGCTGGAGGGTTAATTAAGAAGCCTCCTGCCCACTAAGCAGCCAACCAACATGAAGGCTGACAATGGCACTGCCACAGCAAACTGGCTGCTTCTTGATTTACCTTGAGAAGCACAGATCCGGTGAGGGCACAGCAGCAAACCCCTTGTGAGCTCTGTGCTGCCTCTTTCCTGCCTTCATGTCTCCAACCATCTCAGAGCAGGAAGTGCCCACTGCCCTCAGGAGAATTTAATAATGGCCATCAGAATCTTTTCCAGTCCCTTCAGACCTAAAGGCGGGGACATAGGACATGACAACCCACCATAGAACACTTAATTTGTAAGAATCAAAGGGGGCTGGGCCTGGTGGCATGGCCTAGGGGCTGAAGTCGTCGCCTTGAATACTTCATATGAGTGCCAGTTCTAATCCCGGCAGCTCTACTTCCCAGCAAGCTCCCTGCTTGTGGCCTGGGAAAGCAGTCGAGGACGGCCCAATACTTTGGGATCCTGTACCCATGTGGGAGACCTGGAGGAAGTTCCTGGCTCCTGGCTCTGGGTCAGCACAGCACTGGCCTTTGCGCTCACTTGAGGAGTGAGTCATCGGATGGAAGATCTTCCTCTCTCTCCTCTTCTCTGTATATCTGTCTTTGTAACTTAGTAATGAAATAAAATAAATCTTTAAAAAAAGAATCAAAGGGGGCTGGCAGATAGTTAAGCTCCCACCTACAATATCAGCATCCTATGTAGATTGCTAGCTCATGTTCCATTCATATCCAATTGTTCCAATTTTGATCCAGCTCCCTGCTAACGTGCCTAGGAATAAAGCAGGATGGCCCAAGTGCCTGGGACCTGAAACAAGTGTGGGGTACTTAGAAGAAAGTAATGGCTCCTGGCTTTGGCCCAGCCCAGCTGTTTAAAGCCATTCAGTGAATGAACCAGCAGATAAAGGTCTATCTCCCCTCTTAAAGAAGTCTTTGTTAAAAAAAATAGTAAGTCAACGTTCAGCACCTTTTACGTCAAGTGGTTATGATGTGACATTACCTGCAGAGGCTGTATGCCAGGGTGAGGGCTGCGGACAGCGGACGCATATTTGTATGGTGCGACCGCCCTAGGGGCAGCGGTAGCAACAGCAGCACGAGGTGCTAGGTTTTGCACAGCTGCAGGAACACCTTGGGGAAGGAACAAACACAATTAAAGCCCATCAGTATGGACATAGACCCTTCAAATCCCATCTTTCCCCCTTCTGTGTACACCCAATACCACCTCCAGACTGGCAGCTGTCAGTCAGCCCTTGCTGGGCGGCACCAGCCCCACCAAAGTCCATAGCCAAGCGGTCCGGGCACTCAGACCCTACAACAGACCAGCAAACGCACATCAGTGTTGGCAGCACATGTCCAACTGGCCACGCCCCACGGAAGGAGAAATTCCAACGCATGTTCACACAACATCACACTCAAGGGGCCTCTGCTCCTACTAGAAGGGGCCAAAGGGTAACACAACTCTTCGAGTTGCACATTTTAGAGAACAGGACATAATCTCTTAAGAGTTTCCTTACACTTCCCACCCCACCCAAGAACAAGCTGCCTCTGTAGTCATCCAGCTAGCAACTTTCAACAGTTAGCCTTTGTCACACGATCACTGACAAGCAAAGCCATGTTAAAACAAAGCAGCACAAGTAAAATTTGCTGTTGCTCCTGCGCAACTGAAGTACCTACTGAAACACACAACGAAGATTGCAGAAACCGGACAGTCAAGCCCGAACTGACTAAACTTGGGCAGAGCCTGCGTATCCTAACCCTCCTCCCGGGCCACGCTGCTAACGGCCAGTGTGCTCACCGACTCTCTGAGTGGTAGTAGGGAGGCCACGAGAGGCCGGAGCATTACCAGTTGGAGCCAGATGGCGAAGAGTTGGACGAGGCCCAGCCTGGCGTATAGCACTTGGCATTCCTTGGAAGCCTGGAAAAGGAAAAAAAAAAAAAAAACCTGTATCACTGGCAAGCAACATAGACCAGAATCTAGGCCAACACTTCAGACAACAAGCAGAAAAGGCAGGGGCCAGGACAGGTGTAGCCTGGTAACCAAAGCCCTTCCCACCACGACCTACCTTGAGGTCTCCCACCTTGCTGCCAGCGTGGATTAGGCCTCATCTGTGCTAACTGGTTAGGGGTGTAATAAGGAGGTCTTCCCTGAGCCTGTAAGAAAGAAAGAACAGTACTCAAGCACTTTTACCCTAAGGACCTGAAAGCACCTACAGTTTTTCATTTCACTATCTACCCCCAGGGTTACCTAGAGCAGAGGTATCTGTGTATCTGTTAGTAAGCCCTTCCTTCATTTCCCTTGCAGGGTCTTTTAGTTTAGAATTCCATTACCCCATGATCCCTCTTCCCAGTCATGACAGAACACACTACCAGCTGTCACTAGGCAGATCTGAGATGGACAGACAGCAGACCCACCTGTGGAACTGCTGGCACAAAATAGCCACCAGCTGCAGGCTGGAACTGATTTAAGATGGCATTGGCGGGCAGTGCTCTCATTCCAGCCACACGCTGCATGTACTGATTGGTCAGATGGGCCTTTCTCTCTTCCTTTCTCTGGGCCAGGGCAACGTACAGTGGCTTGGAACCCACGATGCGTCCATTCATCTCAGTGACTGCTTTGGTAGCCTCTTCAGGAGATGAGAAGCAAACAAAGCCAAACCCTTTGCTTCTTCCATCCTCCAGCATCACCTACATAACAAGACGAGCCTCTTAAGAAAAAGGTGTTAGGGTTGGAGAGAAGGCTGAAAAAGAAACCCACAAGCCCTGGAAATCTAAAAAAAAAAAAAAAAGAAAAAGCAAAGAAACCCAAACACACACCTGGGTCATCATCTAAGGTACCTACACTATTTTCAGGCCCACAAGGACTACTATAGTTCTCAAACCCTGTGACATAACTAAGGAGATACAATCCTGACATGTTTCCTGACATCCAAAACCAAGCCACAAACAGCAGATCCCAGTATCTGCGAGGAATAGGAGCAAGTTGTTCGTAGGAACTTATCCTCCCCAAGATCTCAGTCCACCAGCTTGGCACAGTTAGGCTAATACTTTTGAAATAACCACACATGGGCAGTCACACAACCTTAGGTCACCAATGACTGCCACCATGAATGCAATGAGAATAAAGACAAGCTGGGCAACAGGCAGCCCAGACTAACTCTAGCTACCAGCCCAAGCTATAGTTCCATGAGATTCCCCAGGAACAGTCAAGAGCCACAAGTCCACTAGTCCAGGCAATCTTTTCCAGGTAAAGTTAGTTATTTACTAACTTTCTTTTTTTTCACCCCACATAGTATGTACTGCTTTCCCTGGTGACTGTTTTTCACCCTTAGTCCACGACCTAGAGAGCTTCCTGAAGAGGCAACTGTGCAGAAAATTACTGCTTAACCCAACACCCTCTCAATGAGGTAGATAAGACCACCCACAAAGTGCTGAAGATTGCTTCAGCTATCTTTTTTTTTTAAGATCTATTTATTTTTATTGCAAAGTCAAATATGAAGAGGAGAGACAGGAAGATCTTCCGTCTGATGGTTCACTCCCCAAGTGAGCGCAACGGCTGGAGCTGTGCCAATCTGAAGCCAGGAGCCAGGAGCTCTTCCAGGTCTCCCAAACGGGTGCAGGGTCTCACGGCTTGGGCCGTCCTCGACTGCTTTGCCAGGCCACAAGCAGGGAGCTGGATGGAAGCAGGGCTGCTGGGATTAGAACCGGGGCCCATATGGGATCCTGACGCGTGCAAGGTGAAGACTTTAACCACTACGCCATCACGCCGGGCCTCGCTTTAGCTATCTTATGAAGGTTAACTTGTCTACCGTGCAGATAAAAACAAGGAGAAATTGTCCTCATGTCCTCACATCCTACAACATCCTGCGCAGTTGCTGTGACATGCTTAGGGCTAGAGCAGGCCAAGACCTTTCCAGCATCCTCCTCCTTTCCTATCACACAAAGTCCTTGTGGCATCACTGCAACTGTCAAGAAGCCGCCAAAGCTGAGAACTTTCAAATGTCAGTCCACCACATCCTTGAAATGTCAAGGACTTGCAACACATTCCTAATTTTTAAAATGAGGTTCATGGGGCTGGTGAGAGGGCCCAACTAGTTAATTCTCCTCCAGCAAGTAAGTGCCAGCATCCCACATAGGCTCCAGGTCAAGTTCCAGCTGCTCCACTTACAATCCAGCTCCCCACTTATATGGCCTTGGGAAAGCAACGTAGGATGGCCCAAAACCTTGGGACTCTGCACCCATGTGGGAGACCCAGAAGAAGCTCCTGGCTCCTGATTGGCTCAGCTTGTTGCTATGGCCATTTGGGGAGTGAACCAGCAGATGAAGATCTGCTCTTCCTCTGTAAATCTGTCTTTCAATGAGGTTCATACTTATCCACCCTAACTCAGCCGATGTGATTGTCAGAAAATGAAGCAAATGATACAAAAACATGAAAAAGTAAACTGCCTGTCCCCTTTTCCTTCACCTTAGTAAAACCAAGAGAAGAGCTGCCAACTTCAGCTCCACAATCTTCAGCATCTTCTTCCTCCAAGATGAGAAATGTCGCAGAGTTGTAGGGACAGGTTCCAAGATGAATGGAAAACAACCTGTCTGGATTTACTCTGCTCACACTATGGCACCGTGCGTCCCCACACCAGCACAGAACAGCAGGAAATGGGAAAGATTCAGGTGCTTGCTCAGCAGGGTTGGCAGGGAGGGACTGGGCCACACCTCTGCCTCCTCCAGTGCTCAGGAGGTTGTAACAGGAGCCTAAGTATATATCATTCTCTAGACAGAATTAAAGGCAAGGAAGAATTTTCTAGAATAGTGACTTTATGAAAAGAACCATTTAGCTCCTTCAATGAAATAAAATCTCATTCTGCAGCGGAGTACTACTGCTCTCACTCCCCAAGCCCCCGTGAATTAAAATACCTTTGCACTGGTGATTGACCCGAAAGGAGAAAATTCTTTCCGTAACTTCTCATCATCAATAGTGTCATCCAAGTTCTTAATATAGAGGTTTACACCCTAAAGGAGAAGCACTATCATTAATTGCACTATTAACCACATCAATTTCCCAAGAAAATGTTCCCCAAAATGAGGTTACCCACAGCAGTAATAGCAACATCCATGGAAGCTACAGAAATGGAAATTCTTGGGGCTGCCACCTGTGATACCCTCATCCCCTATCAGCATGTTGGTTCTAATCCGCTTTACCTGGTATCGACTAATTCGCTCCTGTTTCAGCTGTTCGAATTTCCGTTTTAATTCGGCCTGCCGTTCTACTTTCTTCTGTGCACGGCCTACAAAAATGACTTTCCCGCCAATTTCTTTTCCATTCATCTCTTCCACGGCCTAGAAATAGACATTAAGTTGTAGGTGGGACCAGTGCTATGTTGTAGACCCACATGGATGCTGGTTCAAGTCCTGGCTGCTCTACTTGTTTTTTTTTAAAGATTTATTTTTACTGGAAAGGCAGATATACAGAAGAGGATCTTCTGTCTGATGGTTCACTCCTCAAATGGCCACAAACAGCTGGATCTGAGATTCTGCCAGGTCTCCCAGGTGTGGGTGCAGGGTCCCAAAGCTTTGGGCTGTCCTCCACTGCTTTCCCAGGCCATAAGCAGGGAGCTGGATGGGAAGTGGGGCTGCCAGGATTAGAACCAGTGTGTTCAAGGCGAGTTTAGCCACTATGTTATTGTGCCAGGCACGCTGCTCTACTTCTGATCCAACTCCCTGCTAGTGTCAGGCATTGGACACCTGCACCCACATGCAAGAACTAGAAGAAATCTGTCCCTGGCTTCAGACCAGTCCAGCTCAGTCACCGTGGCCATTTGGAGAGTGACTAGCTAGCTAACAGCAGATATTTCTGTCTCCCTCTAGATCTGCTGTTTAAATAAATAAATCTTAAAAAAAATTTAATAGATACTTGTCTAGATAATATAAAAGGGGAAAACACTCAGCATTTATGTAAACATGGTGGCAAGGCTGTCATTAAGCTTCAAGCTCATTAGGGGGTCTGGCACAAGCAGCTGTTTTACTGTCTATCCGTCAGCTCGGTCCATCACACCTGTAACTAGAACACACCTCTTGCTTCCCCTTTTAACAGAAGGCAGCTGAGGTGACACCCTGGTGCCAAGTGCTCTGTGAACAATCTATGACATATTCACTGAATGAACTCCCTGAGGAAGATGACTTGAGTACAGTTAACAGTAGATTCCCTCCCAGATGTCTAGAGCATTCTTTTTTTTTTAACTTATCCAAAATTTCTTCTAATTTTTATATAATCTTACATAGTTGATTAGGGTACAAATAGTCAAGGGCTACAGGAGAGTGGATAATACAATTGTTTCCACACTAATATCATTTTCCCTTGTATCGGGAGAAACCCCACCCAGCCCCCATGCACCACCCTCTCCCTACTCTGGAGCCACCGCCTATAAACGTTCCCCAACCCTCCCAGTACTCACCTTATTGGCATCTTCATGCTTCTCATAGCTCACAAAACCAAAGCCTTTGGACTTCCCAGTGGGATCCCTCATCACCTTCACACTGAGCGTTTTACCTGTTACCAAAGGAGAGAACTGCTAGTAACACCATCTTTACCAAAGCTAGCAGGAAAAAGCTTCTCCATAGGATTGCTCTGGATGGCAGTCTAGCTGACCCACACAAACCCTTCAACCTCACTCAGGTACTAGGCTTGACCTTCAAACCGGGACCAAGCAGCTGAGACAGCCTTTGGTGGAGGAGGTAGGTCTATCTGGCCTGTGACCTTGGTCAGCCATTTCTGGGTCTGATTGCCCTGATCCTTATATAAAAATAGATCATTCAGACTGTGAAAGGGGACATGTGGGCCGAAGCCCTTCAACTTACCAAACTGACTAAACAGATCTTTCAGACTCTCATCATCCACCTCTTCCCCAAAGTTTTTGATATAAACATTAGTGAATTCCTTGGCTTTGGCTCCAAGTTCAGCTTCCCGCTCTTTGCGAGACTTAAACCTGCCTACAAACCTAGAAAGAGACCAGGGAAAATAGTCATTACCCAAGGGAACAAAACTGACTTCCAGGGACCCACAGCAATTACAGGTTAAATGCTGACAGGAGAGGTTAAAACATGTAAGGTCCCATCCACCACCAAGAGTAAGCTCAAGAGACAACCAAGTCCCCAGCGGAAAGAGAAAGTGGCAGGACTATCCTTTAAGAACCAATCCCAGGCTCCTGGCTCAGACCAGGGTCACTCCTACCACATCACACTGCCTTCATGAAGAAGCCTGATGGCCATGTTTTTAAAATGTTCATTTCTGTGCATCTATGTAAATGCATAGAAAAGGTCTGGAAGGATACAAACCAAACTGTTAACAGTGAGTGGTTAGTACTAGTAGTGACGAGGCACCCTTTGCTTGGGTACTTCATTTCATCCTGGTCCATACACTGAACACTTCCACACTTTTTCTTTCACGGGGCAGACATCAGAAATGCACCCTTTCTCCGTTCTGCCCAACACCAAGAACACACATGATCTGGGGTTGCACCATCTCTCCCCCACAGCGCTTTGCTAAGCTCCTGCTCTCTCCATTGCACTTCACAACCACACCAAAGCAACAAGGTCTGTTAGGAGACGTGTCTGCGACAACAGGATGGGATTGCTTTCATTATACCAAATCAAGTATTATAGTGGAGCCAGCCTTGTTTTGGAGATCACTCAGTCACGTTAGAAAATGGAGGGACTGGAGGGACAATTTGAAATCCATCACTAGCAAGAGACCCATGGACAGACCTGAGTCACAAGAAGGCCAAGGTCACATGGCTAGTGTATAGCTCCTGGTCAGCTCAGGGCCCTCTCCACTCTGCTGCTGGCCAAGACCCCTGCTCGGAGTGGGCATAGAGCTGCCTTCCCGTCAGCCCCAGTTGCTCACAGAACCCACAGATGGATGCCTTTAAGGGAGGCAGCAGGCAGGCCACGGCATGGGCAGAAAAGCCCACCTTGGCGAGTCAAAAGGGCTGCCACAGCTCAGGCAGGGAGACTCACCAGCCCTGGAGTGGAGAGGTAGGAGCAGGCCACACTGGGCCGAGAGAACCAGTAGCCGCCTTGTGTGTGCCAGTTAAAACCGAGGTGGGGCCAACGGCTGGCTCATGCGATGGCTGTTGCTCCAGACTGGGACACTCACACTTTGCGGTCATTGAGGAGCATGCCGTTCATCTTCTCTATGGCCTTGTCGGCAGCCTCTTGCGTCTCAAAGTGGACAAAGGCATAACCCTTAGAGCCGTTCTCATCACACACCACCTGTCAAAGACAAGACAGACACTTAATACCTCTGGTCAGTCCGCAAAGTCCAAAACAACCAATCACACTCAGTGGGACTTCTCTAAAATGTTACTGCACCCTTGTCCGCCTGGTGAACAGCAGGGACCCAAATCAACACTCCAATGTGACACGCAGCACAGGAGTTTCACGTGCACAGGCTAACCCACAGCACATCACTGGGCACTGTGTAAACACTCCATTTACATCAGGCTATTTCTGTTCTCACCTGGTACGTATGGGTACAAACTACAGTACTGTGGAAAGACAAGCCATTTTTTAGCCCACAATGGAATTTCAGTCTAATGAAATGAGACTACCATCATGCAAGTTCTGCAAAGTGTTCCAACATGTGGGTAAGAGGCTGAATTTACATAAGTCACATTTTAAAAAACCGATCTTGATTTGCAACACAGAAAGAAGGTGCTAACAAAGCTCCTTAGAGGGCCTGGCTCAGCAGCCAGAGTGGCTCAAGTCCTCACCTAGGATCCCATATGGCGCCAGTTCTAATCCTGGCGGCCCCATTCCCTTCCAGTTCCCTGCTCGTGGCCTGGGAAAGCAGTCGAGGATGGCCCCCAAATCTTGGGACCCTGCACCTGCATGGGAAACCTGGAGGAGGCTCCTAGCTTCAGATTAGCTCATTGTGGCCATTGTGGCTACTTGAGGATCGAATCACTGGATGAAAGATCTTCTGTATATATGACTTTCCAGTAAAATAAATATATGTATACACACACACACATATCTAGCTTCCTAGAGCCAGAGGTGCATCTCTGGCCCCTCCCCAGTGTCTCTGGTCTTGAGGTTTCCAAAGCTGGAAAGCGGGGAAGGCATTTCAAGAGAGAAGAGCAGGTAAGCTACGAGAAAACCTGCTGGAATGCTGGGTTTGAGCCCTCAGATGACCTACAGGAACCAATATGATTCCATTTCCACATCTACAAAATCTCCACGTCCTGTTGCCCCCAGTTCCAAGGCAGTCCTCACGTGGCAATTCCTGTTTCAAGATTCAGCAACTACTGTATTAAAACTATTCACTCAGTATTTACCTTACAGGATAGGATGTTTCCAAAAGCAGAAAACGTGTCATAAAGTGCTTTGTTATCTATAGATTTGTCCAGGTTCTTGATGAAGACATTCCCCACGCCAGACTTTCTCAGAGAGGGATCCCTCTGCGACCACATGATGCGGATTGGCTTTCCCTTAATCACATCAAAGTTCATGGTATCCAAGGCCCGCTCGGCTGTGGGAGAGAAGCAGAAAACATTAGCCTCTGGCTAAGTGGCCACCATTCCCAGCCCAGGTCACCACAGGGTATCCGCCCCTCTGGCCTCACTGCAACAAAGTGAGTTCTGGCTCATCACTTCCCATGACCCTCTGGGTCTGTCTCTGTCCAGTGAAGAGGCAGGGCATGGCCTCCTGCACGGCACCAAGGTGCAATGAGGACCCTTTACCTGTGACTAAGCTACCACTCGCTGCGAGGCAGATAGACAGCTGACATGCTGCCTTGGTAAAGGAATACACTTGCAAATGGGGTGGCAAAGCTGTGCTGCCAGTGAGATCTCCCAGCAAAGTGTTATCGACAAGCTCTCATCTGCAGTCCTTCCAGAGACAAATGACAAAACCTGTGAGCAACTGATTGAAAAACTCAACTACCCCAGGATCAGGGACCCTAGTTTATTTGTACAAAAAGGCCTCTATCACTTAGCTGATACAACTGGTTGCACCCGGTAGGCAAGCTCCCTGCCTTATCAGAACAGGATGAAACAGCCACATCTTTCTGCTTTGGAAGACTGCAGATTGCTCCTGCACCCACCCAATGGCGTTCCCACTGGTCACCTGACTTCTATGGAATTCTGGGACTTCAACTGCCCTGGTGTCCAACTGCATTTCCCATCATCTCTGGATGCTTCCTCAGATCCCTGATGAAGCCTCAGTGCTAGCAGAGCCCAAAGGGTCTGAAGGGCCTAACGTATCCTTACCTGCCAAACTAGCAAACTGCACTGAGGCCTGATCTGGCAGCCGCGTGGCTTCACCTTATGAACACACAAGTGTTTTTTTTTTTTTTTTTAATCTTAGGAGGTTTATTCCAGCGAGGCAGGAAAGAGGGAGAGGGGGAGCAAGGAAGAAAAAGAGAGAGAGAGAGGGGGGGGGGGAACCGAGTGGGGCAGGAAAAGGGGAAGGGGGGGAAAGGGAGGTAAGAAGGAGGAGAGAGAGAGGAAGAGCAGGGGAGAGGAACCAAGGAGAGAGAGCAAGAGAGAGCCGAACACACAAGTGTTACCCAGAACCTCCCTCACGGGAGACAGACAGGGGCAGGGTCAGGGTCCAGGGAATCCACTCACTGCAAATGGGAACATCCTCTAATGTTGCCCTTTCACAAGTTCAGCTGCCAAGAGCACTTCTCATTCTGTTTCCAAAACACTCCCCCACTTAGTTGGCCAGGGAAAGAACAAAGGAAGAGATTAGACCAGGCCAGCCCAGGAGTGCACTGAGCACACATCAAGACCCCAACCCTTTCACTAACTGGCAAAAGGAACCCACTTCCACTCAGCTATTTCTAGACGGCGCTGCACAAGGCCTGCTGGCTTAGCCCCACAAACCTGGCTGCACTTATTTATAGCACAGGTATGTGCTGGCAGACACACTGACCAACAGCTTCTACCATCTTGAAGTGACAGGGATTTTGTCCACAAGAGTCAAGAACACAGGTAGCAACAGCTAACAAGTTCACCCCCTTCCCAGTAAGGCCAGACCAGTCTGTTAGCTCTGTGTACCTGTGGCCTGAGCCTCAGCTCAGCAGAGGGCATGCTGCACAAACAGGACCAACATCAAGCCCAATGCTGCACTTTTAGGAAGAAACAACATTCTCCGCCCCATGGACGCCGAACAGAGAGGGGACAAAAATAGGGGCCTGCAGGGCCCTGGCCAGGACGGCTGGCCTCCTCCAGGAACGGTCTCTGCAGTTGTTCCTGCTCCTTGGGAGTCACGTGCAGCCCCTGATTAGGTTTCCTGTGGGCTCACCCCTGCACGCCTGCTGCATACCTCTCGCCCTGCTAGGGCCACAATCTGGGGTGACAGAGCCACTGTACCTTGAACCCCACACCGTCTGCACCAACCTTGGGCAGTTCCTTTTCCTTCTCGGGGGTCCCACTGTCCTTTCCGTGTCAAGAAGTAAAATGCAGTGCGAGAAGTGAAAGGCCCTGCTCCTAGGAGAGGCCTACCTGCCACCAGCCCAGTCATCTGGAAGCGACTCGTTTTCCTAGACTACCTGCACATTGTTCTCCACTGCCAGTGGCACACACGGCCCCAGGGAGCTGGCAAGGCCCGTGCAGCTCCCTGGGAGAGCTGGGTGCCCAGAACTGTTCCCCCACCCCACCCCCGCCTGCCCTGCTAGATCCCTTATCAGCCGGCAATCAAACAGGACTCTCAGTGGGGGGTGGGGAGGAGGAGCAGTCCCTTTGCAATCTGAAACTTTTGCAGGCAATTGTCTTCAATGGTACCTTCTTCTGGTTGGCAGGTCCCAGGGTAGCATTAACCCCTGCCCCTTCGCCAGGCCAGGAGCCTTAACAGCCCAGCACCGCAGGAGCAGACCCAAGGGAATGGCCGTCACCTCGGCCTGATCCTGTTCCAATCCCACCACCACCAATTAGGCCAAGGTCACCCAGTTAGCCAATTAAGTAGTGCGAGCCAGACTGAAACTTGGGGTAGGACCACATGCCCCACTGTGGCCTCTGTGGCCACCTGCTGTCGGCTGGCTCCCTCCCCCCTCCCCGGTCACAGACACACAGCCCTGCCTAGACCAGGACTCCTGGGGGGGAGGGTCCCCTGGGGGGAGGGGCTGGCACTCACCGTCGGCTGGCTGCTGGAAGTTCACGTAGGCATAACCCAGGGAGCGTCGGGTGATCATATCGCGACAGACCCGGATGGACAGCACAGGCCCCGCAGGGCTAAACTTTTCATACAGCATGGCCTCGGTGACGTCCGAGTGCAGGTCACCCACGTACAGGGAGGCCATGGGGTAGCTGCTGGCCGCAGCGTTCATCTCCCCGCCCCCCACCACCCCGAGCCCCGCCAGGAGGACTGCTTAAGAGGGACCCACCACAGGACCGAAGAAAAATAAATAAAGAGAAAGGGGGTGGGGGCTCCGCTCGGAGCCGTGGCCCCGCGCCGCTCACAGGTGGCACCGGGCACGGACAGGAGGCCGGGGTCTGAGGCTCACAGACCGAAACGCGAGTTCGAGGCCAGCCAAGCACAAGACAAAAGGCGCTCCAAAAAGAAAAAATATGGCCCTCACCCGGAGTTTCTAATTTTTAGCTGTCCCGGGTTGAGGTTCCAAATTAAACACGCTAAAATAATTTAAAAACAACAAAAAAAACCTTAAAACGACCAACCTCTTTTCTGTAGTGGGGAGAAAAAGAGATGAAAAAAAAAGAAAAATTCTTCCAAGAGGCAACCAGATGCTGCCCACGGCGGCCCGGGGACACGCGTTCCTCTATAAATACAGGCCCCGGGTTCCCGGCGGTTTAAGATTACAACAGCCAGGGACAGGGAAACCGAATCGTGGGTGCCGACTCGGGCAGGCGCGGGCGGCCGGCGAAGGGCAGCGCGGACACGTGGTGGCCGGCGGGGCCGGGGCCGGGGCTGCCACGCGGCGCGGGCGGGCGCTCACCACCGGGCCGACGGACCCACGGACGCCCCGGGCGGCAGGCCGGAAGCGCGCAACAAAAGTGACTTCCCCGCGGGTTCTCCGAAGACTCGCCTTTTCTTGTCCTCTCTTCCTTTAAGATTCTAAAGCGTTTTTCGGGTTTTTTTTTTTTTCCCCCTTATCTGTTCCCCCTTTTTTTTTCTTCTTCTTCTTCCGGCTGCTCAGCCCGACAGCGACGGAGGCGGCGGCGGCGACCCGGGGCGGAGAGAGGCGGCCGGGGGAGCCACCGCTCCATTTATACCCGCCCGCCCCGGGCGCTGCTGGTCGAAGGGCGCCTCGCGACCTGGGCGCAGCCGTGCCCGCCCACTCGGCCCGGGGGCCCGAGGCGGGGCGGCCGCGAGAGAGCGACCGGGGCGGCTGCGCGGCGCCACAGCGCCCCCTGGCGTGCGGAGGACCGCTCGGCTCGCGGCTCCAGGAGATGGCCGCGGGGCTAGGAGGGGACGTCTTGTGGATCCCATCAGTTGGGAGAGGAACCTGCGGGCTATTTAACCCACCCCACACGCCTTCTGTTTGGAAATCAACGGGATAGCTATTTGCAAAATCATAGGAGGTAATTCGAGTTATAAGGAAATAATAGCCCTGGGTCACTGGTACACAGCGGGAGAACCATGGATTACAGTAGGACCCGTGAGTGATGTGATGTTCTGGAAAGATTAACGGATTTTGTTAAAGTTTCAAAGAAGTAGGGCCTGGCGCGGTAGCGTAGCAGCTGAAGTCCTCCCCTTGAATGTGCCTGGATCCCATATGGACACCGGTTCGGATCTAGGCAGCCCCACTTCCCATCCAGCTCCCTGCCTGTGGCCTGGGGAGGACAGCCCAAAGCCTTGGGACCCTGCACCCATGAGGGAGACCGGGAAGAAGCTCCTGGCTTTAGATCAGCTCAGCCTGGTCATCACAGCCGCCTGGGGAGTGAACCAGCAGGGGGAATATCTTTCTATCTCCTTGTATCCCTGTAAATCTTCCTTTACAATAAAAATAAATAATAAAAGAAAGAAAAAATTCTCCAGACCATTGATCTTTAGAGAAATGCAAATCAAAACCACAACAAGCTAGCACCTCACTTCCTGTTAAAATGACTATTTCAAAAAAGATTTATTTATCTTTCCTGGAAAGGCAGATTTAGAGAGAGAAGGAGAGACGGAGAGAAAGATCTTTTGCCTGCTGGTTCATTCCTCCAGTGGCCACAGCAGCTGTAGTTTAGGTGATTCGAAGCCAGGAGCCAAGAGCTTCTTCCAAGTCTTTCACAAGGGTGCAGGGTCCCAAGGCTTTGGGATATTCTCTACTGCTTTCCCAGGCCACAGGCAGGGAGCTGGATGGGAAGTGGAGCAGCCAGGACATGAACCAGCACCCATATAGAATACCAGCACTTGAAGGTACAGGATTAGCCAGTTGAACTATCATGTCAGACCCCCAAAATGACTATTATCAAAAATGGTGAGGAGGTGGAGAAAGGGGACTCAACACTATTCCTGGGAATGGAAGTATATTTATAACACCACAACAATTTCTTCAGAAATTAGAAATGGAGCCAGATGCTTACATGCTTTCTATGTAAATGTGAGTTCTGATCTGCTACTCCCTCTAGGGTTTAGACACTAAAATACATGAAATGCTTGTATGTATGAGACAGATGAACAGGTGGGTGCCAGAGGGGGCGTCTCCATGCTCGGATCCCTGACTCCAGCCACTGGGTGCACATGGTGAAGGAACCCACAACAGTCTGGACTAGTCAAGGCAGCAGCACCTGAATGTGCATCCTGAATAGGGTGTGGGGTGGGCCGGGCTGCAATGTTCACCAGCTCATACAAGGCCAAATGGAAGGCCAGACTATGCTGGGCACTGGCCTAAAACACAATGGTATGTATGAGAACTGGGTCTGGGAATGGATCAAGTAGAGGAACTTGGGAAACTCCCCTGGTGGGTCATAGCTCCCACTGGTAAACACATGGTCCAGGCCTGGGGGTGGGACAAGCTGGGCAAAGTAGCTCCAATGGCCGGCTAATGTATGAAATGGTAATGGAATGGGGTGTACCGGGCAGCACTAAGCAAACCTTAGCCCACAAGCAAAACGAGAAACCAGGAGGGAGCACAGGTCATGCCAAGCTAGGCTCTTACACCTACTGGTCTGCATGAGCCAGGGACACTAAGCCACAGTGTCTAAGGCAGGGATTGGGACAGGTGAGGGGCTGAGCCAAGCTGAGTCAGAGCAACCACTGGCATGCGCATGATCTATGGCTGGGAACAGGCCAAGTTGGGGAGCTAAGAGGACATCCTCATTGGGTTGAGGTTCCCACCAAGGGGCGCATGGACTGGAATGGGGGCTGCGTACTGATCAGGAGACGGTTGTAGTCTCCCTTGGCACAAATGTGGACTGGGACTGGATGCACCAAGCTGGGCCAGACTCCAACACCCTCTGGTATTCTGGAGGACTAGGGTAAATATAGAATGGATTAGGCTAGGTCCCAACCCTTACTGAACCATGTATAAGCTGTATGGGGGTATAGATGAGCCTTGGCTGGGCTGAAACATCCAACGATAAGAACCAGATTAGGTTGAAGGCCAGTCAGAAAAAGCTGCTGTACCAGCTAGGATAGGAGGTGAACTGAAGTAGGGCTGACTCATGGACCCCCTGGTATGCGCGAAATCTGGCACTGGGAGAGGTTCTGATGGAGAAGCCTGGGCAACTCCTCTGGCAGGACACAGACTTGGCAGGTAAGTGCAAGAAGCATGAAAGGAAACAGCCCAGAAAAGGCCATGGACAGTTTCCCACTGGCATACATTTGGCATGGGTCAGGGGCAGACCAGGCTGAATCAGTTCACGTCATCCACTGACAAATCTGAGCACCAGTACAGAGTAAGGGTTGAGCCAGGTTCAGTCACGACAAAAACCAGTGCACATTACGGAGTACCAAGTGCCAAGGTGAGGTGACCTGTACCAGATGTGACTGCAGCGCCCAACAGCACACGTGAGAACCAGGAAGGGAGGGGTGGAGCTGGCAGGGGGAATATAGGGGAGGGTGCTCCCCTGCTGGACAGCTACTCCCACTGGAGAGCGTGAGCTGCGATGGGGCAGACCAGACTAAGCAGGGCTACAACACCTGTGGGCCTCATGCGGACTAGATCAGGGAAAAGCCAGGCTGGGCTGATTGTTCCTACTGGTGCAAACAAAAATTAGAGTGGGTGAGGATTGTTTGGGCTTAGCCACAGCATCAACTGGCAGAAGCTGGCACGGGGGTTAATTCTGTCAAATTAAACTACAGAACCACCTGGAGAGTGCATAATCCTGCAGTGAGAGAGGCCTGGGAGGGAAATAATGGGCTCCTCCCTCTTGGGTTACCACTTCCACGGGAGGGCATGAAAACTTGGACAGGGTTTGGAGTGGCTAGACAGAGAGGCACCCAACAATATCCATGAGGTCTGGATAGTTGAGCTGGTTAGATGGAACTAGGCTTTAATACCCATTGACATGCATGAGAGCCAAACGGTGTATAGGACAGACTGGATTAGTCTGCTGTACATAGTGGCAAACCAGGGTAGGGGGCAGACCTGGTGGGGTTATTGTGGGTCGGTCTGACTAGGCTGCAGCTGCCACTAGTTTGTGTGAGGGTTGAGTGTGCTGGGCCGAGTCAGGCTGGACTGCAACACCCATTGGTTCCAGTGGAAGTTGGGGCTGAAAACAGAACCAACCCAGCAATTGCAACCACCAGCTGATTAGGGCGATGGACTGTTCTGGGGCCTGTACTTGCTAGTACATACAAGAATCTGGTCTGGGAACACCTCAGACAAAGTTTCTTTGGGGATCTCCCCAATCGAACTGCCAGACTCAGAACCCTGACCATGAGAAGACAGAGGACAAAACAAGTCAATCAGCCACCTCAGCCATATGATGGCAGTGAAAAACTGAACAAAGGGAGACTCTAACATGGGCTATGAATCAGTGGATTCTTCAATGACCTCATTATGCTTGAAGTGGCGAGATTGGCAGCAATTCATAACTGTTGAACTATCAAAACCACTTGAGCAAGACCTTCGGAGCATGCCCCATATCCGGGACCTGGGATGGGTGGGAGACTGGGTGGGGCTTCTCCCTTAATATCCCCCCTTTACCTCAGATACATGAAGGAAACAATATGGAAATAGTAGTCTTACCCACTTCCTGTAGCCCTTCAACCTTTTTACCCTAATTAACTATGTAAAGATTGTCAAAATTAAAAAAAAAAAAATGGAACAAGTTAAAAAAGAAAATCCTGTCGTTTACAGCACAATGAATCCAGCTGGAGGACATCACCTTGAGTCACATAAGCCAGACTCAGAAAGACAAACACTACACATTCTCTCCTACATGGAGGAGCTAAAACTTTAAAAGAAAACAAACAGGGCCCCGGCGCAGTGGCGCAAGTGGTTAAAGGTCCTCGCCTTGCACACCAGGGATCCCATATGGGCGCCGGTTCTAATCCCGGCAGCCCCGCTTCCCTTCCAGCTCCCTGCCTGTGGCCTGGGAAAGCAGTCGAGGACAGCCCAAAGCTTTGGGAACCTGCACCCGCGTGGGAGACCCGGAAGAGGCTCCTGGCTTCTGATCGGCGTAGTATCGGCCCGTTGCGCTCACTTGGGGAGTGAATCATCGGATGGAAGATCTTCCTCTCTGTCTCTCCTCTCTGTACATCCGCCTTTCCAATAACAAAATAATAAAAATAAAAATAAAAATAAAAAGAAAACAAACAAAACATAACAACCAAATTCAATCTGAACAAAGAATGTTGTTTCATAGAGACTGGGAGCTGTGGCCGGATAAAAGGAGCTCAGAATTTAAAAAATCAGGAAATGATGCAGGTACTATGGTATAGCAGGTTAAACACCAACAGCACCCATGTGAGTGCCCCTGCTCTTTTGGATGGCTGTAGAGGTTGGCAGAGCAGTTCACACCCACCAGTTTATTCCAGGTCAACAGGAAGCACACGTAGCCACCTGATCCCTGAGCATCTGGAACCAGGAACCTGCCACCAAAAACTGGGGACCATAAACATCGGGGCAAGGGATGCCAGGGGAAAGAGGATGTATGCATTGTGGGGTTAACGCTCAGCAGACCGGTGGCTTCCTGGGCTGTGGTCTGCTTCTGACCCAGAAATAGGCCCAGAGACAACATGAACCTGCTTTGGAAGGCTCCACACAAAGCTGGACCAAAGTAGCTCTCA